GTAATAATATATGTATGTGTATAATAATATATGTAATAATAATATATGTTTGTGTATAAAAATAATAATAAAATATATGTATGTGTATTATATATATATATATATATATATATATATATATATATATATATATATATATATATATATATATATATATATATATATATATATATATCTCTGCTGGAGCGAGAACTCGAGTCCAAAAAGTGAAGCCAGCTTCGTGTTAACCGCGCAGACAAAAACAATAGAAAGGAACTGGAACTAACGTCCAATAGCTCCTTCAATTTCCGCCATCTTGGCAAGAAGTGTGCCGAAATTTCGTATTTCGACTCATGCCTGTCAAAACAGGGGATCCTAGGTAGCGGCGCTACCTGCAAGTGCCTGAAGCTAACTGCAATCCTTGATCAGAAGGTCTTATACATGCTTCAGTAAAGTAGAAAATTTCAATTTTTCCGAACACATTTTCCAATTACTTAGCAATTTAATAAGAGTCGTACTCAAGACGTAAATTGATCAAATGATGCCATCAAAAACTTAACATGCATTTTTGAGAAAATTTTCTTCGAACAGTCAGAATGTTCTTGTTGTCAGCTTTCTTGATTTCCATTCATTGAATATTATTACAAATAATGGGTTTGAGCAAATTAGCGGACACTCGATTTTTGCAACATGAAACATAACTCAATAACATTTCTTCGGTGGCCGGTACCCTGTCGCAATTTGCAAGCTTCAAGCAAAGTGGGCAAGTTCGAACCATGCAGGGCTAACTGCAAATTTTTTTGGCTACCTGCAAAAAAACTAAATATACAGGCATGTTTCGACTTCGATTCAAAGATTAATAAAAAAAATTGCATTCAGCTGGAGGAAAATGGTATAAAAACTGTTTACTTTCAGAGCTATTAGACGTCAATGGCCGCCATCTTGGCCTCACTTTTCTCCTAGGCCGAATGACTGAAGTTCTTACTCCAGTTATATATAGAGCTCACTGAACTTACCATTGTATTGCACATCCCGAAGGCAGAGCAAGCTTGACGCTGCAAACCAATAGGATTCAATAATGGGAGAGAGAATATCTCTGAGAAATTTAAGCTTCCATATAGCTTCATCTGAGGAATTTATCTGAAAGAAAAATATTTGCATGCAGCACTTATTTCACAAAAATGTTAAATTTTTTAGAAACATGGTCTCGTCATTTGAAAGATGCGAGCAATTGTTAATTCTGCAAACCTTGTACTCTTGGTCAGTGATCTCTGTCTCCTCTTCGCTTTCTTCATTATCAGACCATGCTGTCGATATTGCAAGCCGATTGGCCCATTGCCTCTCACGTGACTTCGTGCTGGTATCCTGGTTAATATAGACAGTAAAATTGTAAATTAGGATCGTTATGCAAAACTGAAGAAACATCAACACTCAAAAGGATCTTGGAAAAATGTGACAGGGCACGAGTCTATACATTACAGGGGTAACATGAAGACTTGGAAAAATAAGCAACTGATAAAAATAATGATTAATCATTGAATACAAACCTCACAGACATTCAAAACTTCAGCTGCGATGAACTTGTCAATGGCATCCATTATGGCGGTCTCCAAAGAGGTACAAGGCTGGAAATAGAGTAATAGTATTTATTATAAAGAATGAGGGTACTCAATATCAAAGCTGAATACAATGCTTATGCGATTTCCCTGTGACTGTTTTTTTAGATAACATCGCTCTATGTCCAAAACTGTGTTACAAGTTGCAGTAAGAATTTTCTTGTGTGTGATATGGCCTTAACTTAGATGTAAGCGTTACTTGATTATCCTCTAAACCTCAAGCTATCCGCCATGGTAACTCAACAAGACACTATAAATTTACTACAACCAAACCGCAATCTAACCCAAATTAAACAGCAACCTATATTAATCCGCGACCTATTCACAACTAATTAACTATGACCTAACCACGACCAAAGTGAAAATACACTTTTTACTTACTGGAGAAAAAACGAATTCTCTGTATAGGAGATCGCACAAGTCCAACGCCGTATTTAATAGCTAAAAAGGTGTAACTAGGTGTAAGCACATTGTTATAGAATTTTAACGTATATGTACACGTAATATGGCATGATGGTGTGGCAATGTAAAATGAAATTTCAAGAAATATAAATCAAGACAAAAAACCCTGGTTAATTATATTCACCTCTCTCCGTGAAATAGTTGTATTTTGGTAAATCAACTCTGGCAGAGATATATTTCGATCTGTAAGCAAAGCTCCAATGGAACAAGCTAAAAATAATTCAATTAAAAAAAATCTAAACACATGCATGGTTCTCCAAAAATAAAAATATAAATGGAAAGGCTGGTTCACACTATAAAATTCGAACCAATGTGATCAACACAAGCTGTCAATATTTGAAAAGCTGGCCTGTTAGCAACTGCAGAGTTGATCGGATGTTTGTAAGACTCAGGGCTTGAATTTTATCGCGGCAATTGCCGTAGAGAGAGAACAAACGACGGCAATTTTTTGCCGTATTAGTATAGTGTAATTTTTATACTATTCACGGTGCATTACTATTTTCACACTTGAATTCAGATGTCGATCAAATCATGCGTAAACTACTATTTTAGTTTTCTTCGAGAAAAGAAAAAAAAAAACACTAAAGAAATACGTGAACATGTTTCTAGCTTGTCAGCAATCCAAAGTAACAAATAAAATAAAATATTTATTACAGTAATTTGAAAAAATGCCGTGGAAACTGCCAAAATTGCCGTAGACAGCTGTTACGTTCTACGGCAATTTGTAAGGCCATTGCCGTCGATTGATTTCAGGGAAATTCGAGGCCTGGTACTCAACGTGAAGACTCAACCGTTATTACCCGCTCTGCTGTAAACGTGAATCTTAATGTCTCTGCTTACCAACAACCGACTCAAGTACAAACACAGATAGCACCTGATTGTAAAGAAACAAAAGAACGAAGTACATATACATTGAACGTAAAATGGTTTAGTAAAGAAACTCTCTACAAGACTACAAGTCACGTGTTAAATCAATAAACTAATTAATAATTCATCAATTAGATTTGGTTAGGAAAAAATTTCCTGCGCAAAAGTACATGTACAGTAGGAAGCAATCCCACTTAATATTCGAAGAAAATGTTTTGATCTGATATAATGGTTGAATAAGAACAATTTTGCTACGATTATTCTTTAGAGTTAACTTGGTCATTCATAATACGAAATAACCGGTCCAGTGATAGTAACTAGCTTAGTAGTAACTAACCTGATTGCTGTAATACGAAAGCTCCAAAAGACCTGGTAACGAGAGAATCGGTTTAATAATACGCGATTCCGGATCCGAAGAAACTAAGTCTTTTCCAAGAAGTTCAATCGCGTGTAGCATTACGTCTGCATTAGCCCCACTGAAGCCATAGTCCCTGGAAAAATAACCCATAAATATGATTAGAAATGTAAGCAATATTAATTTAGGA